ATTCTGAAATTTTAGCATCCCATTCCTTATCGTGAAATCAGGATCGGGTGTGCTTCCTTACTCCACGTACTTTTTCTTCAAAAGTTTATCTTCACATTGGCGAGCTCTAATTTCTTCAATCAACTCGGGTTCCACAATTATGTTGGCAAGCAGTCCATTGATCTTGCTGGGAATGAAGGTATACGCCAAATTTCTGGTCGTCTTTCGACTCAATGCGTCTGCTACCATGTTAGCTTTGCCTGGATGGTGACAGATTTCTATATTGTAGTCCTTCATAAATTCTAGCCATCGTCGTTGCCTCATATTCAGTTCCTTTTGTGTAAACAAATATTTAAGACTCTCGTGATCAATGTAAATTTTGCAGGTGGCACCGTAGAGATAGTAACGCCAAATTTTGAGTGCGAAGATTACTGTGCGAATTCCAGATCGTTAGTCGGGTAATTCTTCTCGTGGGTCTTTAGTTGACGTGAGGCATATGCAATGACCTTTCCATTCTGCATAAGAACGCAGCCCAAACCATTGTATGAGGCATCACTATAAATTACAAACCCTTCCGTTCCCGTGGAGAGCACTAGTATAGGAGTTGTCACAAGTCTGTTTTTCAATTCTTGGAAGCAACGTTCTTGCTTGTCGGTCCATTCAAAGGGTGTATTCTTCTGAGTTAGCTGGGTCAAGGGTGATGCTATCTTCGAGAAATCTTGCACGAAGCGCCAGTAATAGCTGGCTAGACCCAAGAAGCTTCGAATCTCAAACACGTTAGTAGGTCATGGCCAATCCACGATTACTGTAACTTTTTGGGGGTCAACTGTGATGCCATCTTTGTTGATGACATGACCGAGAAAATGTACACTAGTGATCCAAAATTCACATTTCTCCAACTTGGTACAGAGTTTGTGATCACGCAGTATTTGCAAAATCGTTCGCAAGTGTTGTTCATGGTCTTTCGGTGATTTGAAGTATATGAGAATGTCGTCAATGAAGACAATGACGAACTCGTCAATATAGGGTGTGAACACTCAGTTTATGAGGTCCATGAAGGCCGCTAGCGCATTTGTGACGCCAAATGGCATGACGAGAAACTTGTAGTGCCCGTAACGAGTTCTGAAGGCAATTTTTTCGACGCTTTCCGTTTTGACTTTTAGTTTATGGTAGCCAGAATGCAAGTCAATTTTTTAGAATATATACTTGGGCGCCTTGCAGTTGATCAAACAAGTCATCGATTCACGGCAGAGGGTATCAATTTGTGATGACCACCTCCTTAATTAAGCATATTAATTATATCGATTATATGCTTATTGTTAATTATGTGATTATGTGTTATGAAGTGTTATTGAATTGCTATATGATTATTTGAATTGTGTTATTGTGGTCAGATAAGTTAGAGTGAAAATTAAACTTGTCTAATTTGTTAATTTTTAACAGGTTAGAATTAAGAAATTGGATAGGAATTAGAGCCTAATTCACATTAGTATAATTTAATCTAGTGTACTTAAGATCATAATATGATAAGGCTTCATTTAATTTGAGTGAATTTGATTTAATTGGTTAAACCTATAATTTATCAATGCTTAAGATTAATTAGAGATTAAGTAAGCCTTAACTCTACTCATCAAATTGAAAAGGAAATAAATTATTATTAAATTGGAATTACTCATTCATCTGATAGGAAAAAGGAGAATGTAGCGGTCATTGTTGAGTCCGAACAATACACGCAGAGAGAGAGAGAGAGAGAGAGAGAATGAGAGAGAGAGAGAGAATGAGAGTTCATCGAGAACACCTAGAAGAAGAAGAAAATTCAAGGAGAAGTAGAAATTCATTGTAGATAACTCAATTCTTTAACCTCTAGGTAAGAGTTCTTCTCTTGTATCTCACCAATTTGAAGAATAATATGTATATTTATGGGAATTCAAGATCATTTAAGAAGAATATAAACTTGATTGTAAGATTCGTAGAAGTAAATAGAAAATTAATACATGCATGGCATAATTCTTGAACACTCATGATCATACATTCAATTGCTTGTATATTTTCAACTTGAAGAGAAACTCCATGGGAGTTAAGAGTTGGGCTCAAGATTTGCAAGTTTCTTGATTATACATTTTAATATTTGAAGTGAAATTGGAGTTGAGAATATATGATCATATAATTGAAAGATTGGATGAGTTGATTCTTAAAACTTAACATGCATGGTATGATTTTCATGGAAATTGTTGTCACACACTTAAATTCTTGTATGGTACTTCAAATGAGAAGGAAACTCCATGAATTTTTTAGGAGTAAAGCTCATACTTACATGTTCTATACAATTACATAATCAATTGGAAGTTTGCTTTCTTCATGACAATTTTGGGGTTTGATTTGTGGTCATGGATTTTGCTTTAAGGTAAAAGTGTTAACCCTCCATGAAGGTATGAGTTTTTGGTCTAGAAATTCATGGTATTGAAGTTAGAATACACAATGATCGAGGTTTCTAAACAGAGCAGTTTTCGGACAACATTTCAACTCAGACTGCTCGAGCGGCCTGGGCCACCGCTTGAGCAGCCAACCTTTATATGCTCAAAGATGCACACTGCTTCACCACTGCACGTGCGGCCAACAGTGCAGTCCCGGTTTTGTTTTTCGTTCCATTTTTCTACCTTTCGAGCCTCCGTTTACATGGTCTTAAAGTGTTTTTCATGTGCATTCGCATCTCATGAACACAAATGAATTGAAGAACAAAATTTTAACCAAGCAATTAGCAATGGATAGGAACCGAAGCAATGAACATCGAATAGAAACCGAATAAATAAAGAATGCAAAGAACCGATCGAATAATTGACTGTATATTGAGTAGTATTGTAAGAATGTGATTGTAATCATGTTATGCTTGACTTTATTTGTTAGGTTGGTCGCCGAACCGTTATTACGTGTATTAAGAAGCCCATTGTGAGTAACACTGTTGTAAAGATATGTTCAATCGAATTTATTTTCTGATTGATAAATCATATTGTTTTCTAAAATGATACTTTTCATCGATTGAATGATGATCCTATTTTGAACTGTATTCGTGGCATCCATAGCATATTGCTATTGTTATTGATATTATTATCGCTATTGTTATAGAGATCTCTGTCAGTTCCAATTCTTGGAACTATTGTCTATTGTTTGATGGCCATCAATTGATTGTTTAGTCTTTAAGACCTATTGTATTTGTATTGTTGCTATTGAATGTACCACGTATGACCTATACAAATATGATTGATTGAATTGAATGATTTAAACGATTGATTGACAAAAAGATATTGATTGAAAATGTTCTATTGATAATTGATTGTTTCAAATACTGTTAGGGCATCATTCTTAACCTATTTACAAAGTTGTTATTCACTGGGCTCTAACTCACTGTTTACTATATATATGTAGGTGATCGAGAGCCCGATCAAAGCTAGTGGCGACAACCTGAACCTTTGTTTTGTCAAGCCAGCCATTATACCTCATCGCGAGGTTTTGAACCATCATGTGTTAAGGCTTTTTGGGTGGTTCAAATTCACCCTTTTGTTATTGCTAAGTGAAAAGAATGTTTTATGACTTTTGATAATACTGTTTTTGATAATGGGATTTAATTCCCTAACTTATGTTTTGTCTTGTATATATGTGTTTTATGGACTTAAGTGTTTGTGCATATCTCAATATATGAAACTTGTGTTGTTCATTTAAGTCCTCATAGCTCTTTGGACATTTTGTTTTAATATTTACAGGCTTCTACCAGTCCCTTTATTGTACAACTTTGTTTACTGGGCCTTTGGTAATACTGGATTACTGGTCGGTTAAGATGCTAAACCCTTAAGGGCGGTTTTGGGTCGTGACATGATTCTTGATGGTGACTTTGTTCAGCTTCCGGTAATTGATGCATAGCCTCATCGTGCCATCATTTTGCTTTACGAACAGTACTAGAGCTCTCCAGGGTGAGATACTAGGTCAAATAAAACCTTTGTCCAGTAGTTCCTGGAGTTAAGTCTTCAGCTCTTTTAATTCTATCATGGATATACGGTAAGGGGCTTTTGAGATTGGTTGTGTACCAGGTTGGGTTTCAATGGTAAATTCGATTTCTCGGTCAACTGGGTTACCAGGTAGGTCTTCAGGAAATACATCCAGAAATTCTCGAACCACAGGGATTGCATCAAGTATGGGGGCTTCTTGTTGAGTATTAATCACATAACAGATACAACTACAACAACCCTTTCTTAGAAGCCGTTGGGCTGTCAAGAAAAATACAACACATGGAGGAGGAGAAACTCCAGTTCCATCAAAGACAAGCTTGAGTTGACTTGGTGATCGAAGGGAGACCTTTTTGGCTTCACAATCGATAGAGACATGGTTGACAGCCAACCAATCCATTCCTAAGATCACATCAAAGGTACTAATGCATAGGGGAATCAAGTCTACATATAAGGTTTCACCTTTTAAGGATGCAGTACAAGATTTATACACATCAGTACTAAGTGCAAAATTACTAGAAGGAAAAGACACAAACAATACATATTCTAAGGGTTCGGGTGTTGATATTAACTTCGAAGCAAAGTGTGGTGCAACAAAAGAATGAGTAGAACTAGAGTCAAAAAGAACATAAGCTAAATGACCACAGATAGAAAGTGTACCTGATACAACATTCTCGGTAAGTTCTGGGTTTCCAAATACTAAGGCAAAAGCCCTTCCTTGGCGTTTTTGGTCCTTCCCCACTCCTCCAGGTACCGCTGGTTTTCTGACTAGTTCAGAGGGGCCGGCTGTAGAATTGGTAAGCTTTGGACAATCTCTCAGGAAGTGACCAACTTGACCGCATCTAAAGCATGTTCCCGAGTCTCGATGGCATTGTCCCCAATGAGCCTTTCCACAAGTAGGGCAATTAGGACTAATGCCACCTCTGGGGTAGTAGGACCTTGATTGCTTAAACTAGTTGAACTGGTTATGCCCATATTTACGCTCTTGGGAGGCGCAACACTGGATCTTCTGTTATCTCTTTCTCAAAATCGCTTCCTTTGGTTCGGTTCCCCGAAGCGCGAGGCTTTAATCCTTTTTTTCGTAGCGCATGCTCGATCCACCACTTCCACATAGGTTGGTAGTTTCAAAACCTCCAGTCTATCCTTGATTTCAGCATTCAATCCTGCTTCGAATTTCCTAGCTTTTTGAGCTTCGGTGGGGATGACGTATGTCACAAATTGAGCTAGTTGCGTGAACTTGCTCTCGTATTCGGCCACCGTCATGGTTCCTTGCCTTAAATGTATGAATTTTGACGCCTTTTGTTCCCGTAGCAAATCTAGAAAGTATTTTTCATAAAATACTTTCAAGAATCTTGCCCAAGTCACGATATCTTCTCTCTCCAGGGTAAGCAACCACCATTCTTGTGCATCGTCTTTGAAGGTGAATGTGGCGAAGGTCACCTTCTGTCTTTCTGTGTAAGGTAGTACACGAAAAATCTTCTCCATATCTCTGACCCAAGCTTCTGCCACCAGTGGGTTTGTACTGCAGGTAAGTCCTAGAACTGTTTTATTGTCATTGGCTCTTCTCGCCGTTCAGGCATTCCGTTACTTATGTTGGTTTGTAGGGCTCGCAGAAAGCTGGTAACTGCTCTTTCCATAATTTGTTCCATTGGGTCTGTACCGCTGACCGACGATCCGGTTCCATTTCCATCATTAGCCATTACTAGGGGTGTGCATAATATCGCCAAAACCGCACAGAACCGCACCGCCAAGGCAAATTCGTTATTATTTGCCAATCGAACCGCCAGTTTTTAGTAAGAAAAATGGCAAATTCTAGTGACACTTTTATCAATCCGCTGGTTTCTATTTTTCTTCCAAACCGCACCGACCCGCACCGCTATTAAATCATGTTTTATAAGATTCTAAAAATTCTTTTTTACTTAAGTTTGCTTATTGTTCTATACCTTAAAATATAGTGTTACATTACTGCTCAAGGAGAATTCAAGATGTCAATAATCAAAAATAAAGTTAGATTCCAATTCACTTTTCAAGATGCTTAACATCACGGTATCTCTCATCTTTTTTTTACTCTTTGATTTAAGCTTTGTAATTTTAATTATATTTTTTATAAACCACTAATCCGCCCGAACCGCCAAGGCAAATCCGCCATTATTTGCCAACCGAACCGCTGGTTTTTAATAAGGAAAATGGCAAATTCTAGTGACACTTTTATCACCCCCCCCCCCGCCATACGGTTTCTATTTTTCTCTCAAACCATACCGACCCGCACCGCACACACCCCTAGCCATTACTACAAGGTGAAAAAAGTTAGTGGAATAGTCATATTATTACTTATTTATATATATATATATATTTAACCAATTGGTACCATAATATCATATCTATGATTCACAAAGATACCATAACAGCACATATATCATTTACACAATACTTGTTTTACTTATGCAAAAGAAAAGATGTCAGTACAATATACTTAGATAACGGTCAAGAGTTAGTGTCTAATCCTACTAATACAAAAACTTTAGGATTAGACTAATCATAGTCAGGTCACAAAAAAAATCTCGTGGTCAGACGTTTAGAAGGGACTGTTAGGCCACCATGAGAACTGGCTCTAGAAAACTGGGCCATGAAACAACCCCACAAACTCCCCCTGCGTGAGGGACTCAAACTCCCACCCACTATGCTCTATTCCACAGCAACGCCATACCACCCGGACTATGTAGACAGGAACAACGTGATCATAACCCCAAAACTCCCATCCAGTAATCCGTACCGATATCTCCAAGTATGATGCACTATCAGTGAAGTCCACAACTGGGGTATGGATAATGTGCTGTGGAGGAGGTGTCATAGTGCGAATGTGGCTGCTAGGGTATGCATGCCCTCTCCTCTCCGCAAAGCCTAGGGGTAGAGGTGCAACCAAAAAGTGCGGTTGTCCTAGGTCCGGAGCAAGACCAACATGCGTTAGCCCTATGTACCTCTCACGTGTGTTGCCTCGGCTAAGTCTCCAATACAAGAAATCATCATCGTGGCCAGTCTGTAAGTATACGGGTCTCCCTATGAGCTTTCCTAACAAGACTCTCTGAATCCCCCCAACTTTCTAGTAGGTTCAGGATAAGATGAGCTCCTGGGGGCTCAAACCAGAAGTGCCAAATTAGATTCTGTATTTATTATTATTTATTTAATAATATATTATCACATACACCCACAATTATATATAACTATAAATATTTATATGGTATTTAATTAAACGTTCAGGGTGTCACACCTACAAACTCACTTAGCATGAGGGACTCAAACTTCCAGCCACTGTGCTCTATTCTAAAGCAATGTCATATCACCCAGACTATATAGGCAGGAACACCGTGATCAGAACACCGTGATCAGAACCCCAAAACTCTCGTCCTATAATCCGTACTGGTATCTCCACGTATGACAGTGTGTCAGTGAAATCCACAACAGGGATATGGATAATGTGTTGTGGGGAAGGTGTCGTAGTGCGTACATGGCTACTAGGGTATGCATGCCCTCCTCTCTCAGCAAAGCCCAGGGGCAATGGTGCAACCAAAAAGTGCGGTTGTCCTAGGTCCGGAGCAAGACCAACATGCGTTAGCCCTATGTACCTCTCACGTGTGTTGCCTCGGCTAAGTCTCCAATACAAGAAATCATCATCGTGGCCAGTCTGTAAGTATACGGGTCTCCCTATGAGCTTGCCTGACAAGACTCTCTGAATCCCCCCAACTTTCTAGTAGGTTCAGGATAAGATGAGCTCCTGGGGGCTCAAACCAGAATAACTCCACTAGGCTTTCCATAATAGCAAATAATATAAAGTTAAATTTTTTTTTTTTGAAATAATTTCAATTTCAAATAATGTGAATAATTGTACAGAAATTCAAAAACATATACTATTTTTATTTAGATTAAAAAAAAAAAATATTGCTCTGATACCACTTTGTCACGACCCAAACCTGGTATCCAAAGGTTCAGTGTCCCAACTAGACAATAAAAATTAAATAATTCTAAAATTTCTGCAGTAGTAGCTCAAGCGGATAAATAAAATAAAATAAAAAGGGTACCAAAAGTTTATTAAAAAGGAAAAAAATAGTCATTTGAGCTTTATTTTATTACAAGGGTCCGATCAAAAATATAGATAGTAAATATATTTAAAAAAAAACACTGCGATTTATCCCCCGTCGTGATCCCGTTAAATCTCGTCACCTGAAAAGGGTAACAGCTATAAGCACATAGCTGAGTGAGAAATATTATACTGTGAATGTAGAGGTAAAAAATAACCATGGATAGTTATTAAGTTAAAACATTGACATAACTTAATTTGAATAAACCAATTGTTTAAGTGGTAGAAACTAAAATATAGAAATTATGTAAATAATTACAACCACGGCACAGAACAGAGGTCACTGGAGTGACAAACAGAACAAAGGTCAATGGATCCATGACAAACAGAGGACCACAAATTGGCCAAATAGAAGCCAATGGTTTATTTAAGTCCCCCAAGGCGTGGCACTCTCGTGGTGGTACTTATAGAAAATAATTGTTTATAAAATTATTGTCAAATAATTTCTAAAATTTAAACAAACATATCCATGGGTTTCAATTTAAGCAAATAGAGTTCAGAAAATAATCCACGCAAATGAAACATTAACTCAACCATAAAACATAAATTATATAAAATAAATTGTAGTAACTCAAAATATTCGTAAAATATATTATAATAACTTAAAACATATATAAAACATGTTATGGTAGCTCAAGGTATAATATAACTCACCTTACAATTACTCTGAAATTAACCTTGACTCACTCCCCATTTCTAAGGCTCCTCTACAACTTGAATCCCTTATACGTGTGATTCTTGCTTGAATGCTCTTGCTTGGATGCCCCTTACTACAATACCGCCATCCATATTTATACATGACTAAGTGTGAGGCCCAAGCAAGAGAAGCATACACGTACGTAATTTCCCCTCTTGCCACCTGTTTCACCCCTCAGGTTTTAACCCCTAAATAACTCTTTGGCACAAGAAAAAATTTGATTTGGCTTCTCACAATTGGTACGGTTATTACCCTCTTGGTAATTTACAATGATCCCTAAAATTACCTATGATTATAAGTTAGGTTCACGTCTAAGAATCTCACCACCAAACTATAAAACATCACTTACCGCTTACTAAAATATTTAATATTAAAAATGCGGTGTCCCACAATCTATCCCTTTAAACAAAGATTTCTATTATTTTAAAATTAATAACAGCTAACGTTTTAAACCACAAGCTTTCACGAAGCACTTTTTGATATACTAAGGAATTCTATTTATTTATTTTTTATTATTATTATTTATATATATATATACATATCCTATTCATGAGTAATTGATATAATCACGGTATTGAATTAAATTAAAAATTCGGGTGTCACATCAGATAACAACCATCTATTCCTGTGAAGGGCCTACATTCATTAATGAACCCTACATTTATTACATCAAATGATATGAAAATTCTTTGGAACAATAGATACTGAGGAATGGTAGGGTCTTGTTCTTCTCCATCTTCTGAGATTGGGGTAGGGGATAGGTCATAATTTATGACCACCAAACTACCAAGGCTTGTTTTCTTGATTTCTTCAACATATGTTGGCAACAACACATATTGTCTCCCATGATCACCCTCCAGCTCCTCCTTACACCTCCTTTTGGCTTTATACAGTTGCATTCTTGAAGCTTCAATCCCAAACATTTTATTTAGTTGCACTTGCATAATATCTAAGCCCATATGTATGGATTCTCCTTAAAACTTTCAACCATTTTTTTAGCAATCCAAATTGATGTAGCTTCAGTGTTTATGTTCATCCTGCTACATGTGTGAGTAGGTACTAAGGTTTTAATCTTGTAGGTGATCCCATCTGAAAGTGGAGAAGCATGAATTCTCCAAGGGCAGCCCCTAGCAGCATAATGGGCTATTACTCTAGACTTCTCATTTTTGTCCCTTACTATCTTGAAACCAATTTGCACTATATAGTCCCTCAATGTAACTTTGAAAGTGTTCACTTCTAGAAAAATCATCCCCTTTTCCAATACAACTTCTCCATATTGATTAAGATATGGCTCTTTCCCATTGTAGGTACCATCATACTTCTTGCCTGGAAACCTCATCTCTTCATCATCTAGACAGTCTGCTTCATTATCATAATCATCATCAGTAATAGAATATGCCACTTCACCATCACCAGATTGGTAATCACTAAGTTCGGCATCATCATAAGCACTCATTATCATTATCACTCAAAATCTTATTGCTATCTGATTCATTTTCATCCTCAACAATTGCATTCCAATCCTTATCCTCATCACTAAACCCATAAACATTGTCCTCATAGTACTCTTCATCTATACCTACGGTATGGTAGCCTTGCTCTACATCTACAGCATCTACTCCATGATTTTTGCCTCCATCATTTCCACCATCA